TAGCGTGGCCGAGCCCTCTATGGCATGGTCCGACCGGTACAGAGAGCAGCTGTCTCCTGTACCCGGCCGGACTAACAGGAAGTGCACACTCTGTGTTCACTTCCTTTTAGTCCGGCCGGGTACAGGAAACAAAAGCAACCTGTACCCGCGGACCAATAGAGGGCTCGGCCACGGTACAATAGAGGGAGGGAGGGTGGGGGGGAATAAAATGGGACGGGGAGGAATAAATGGACGGGTGGGGGGGGGAGGAATAAATGGACAGGGATGGGGGAGGGGGGAGGAATAAATGACAGGGAGGGGGGGAATAAAATGGACAGGAGGGAGGGGGGAGGAATAAACGGACAGGGAGGGAGGGGGGAGGAAATAAAATGGACAGGGAGGAGGGGGGGACAAATGGACAGGAGGGGGGGGAATAAATGGACAGGGGAATAAATGGACGGAGGGGGGAATAAAATGACAGGGAGGGGAGGTGGGGAATAAAATGGACAGGGGGAATAAATGACAGGGGAGGGGAGGTGGGGAATAAATGGACAGGGGAGAGGGGGGGAATAAAATGGACAGGAGGGAGGGGGGGGGAATAAATGGACGGGGGAAGGAAATGGACAGGGAGGGGGGGAATAAATGGACAGTGGGGGGGGGATAAATGGATAGGCAGGGTGGGGGGATAAATGGACAGGCAGGGTGGGGGGAATAAATTGACAAGGTGGGGGGGGGAGAAATTGACAGGGAGGGGAATTGACGGGGTTAGGAGGGGGAATGAGAGTGGGGAGGGGAGAAGAGAGTTACAACGGGGGAGACAAGAGTGACAAGGGAGGGGGAGAAGAGAGGGACACGCAGGGGAGAAGAGAGTGACAAGGGAGGGGGAAGAAGAGAGGGACAAGAGGGGGGAGAAGAGAGGGACAAGAGGGGGGAGAAGAGAGGGACAAGGGGGGGAGAAGAGAGGGACAAGGGGGGGAGAGAAGAGAGTGACGAGGGAGGGAGAGGTGGAGAAGAGAGGGACAAGGGAGGGGGGAGAGATTGACATCCATCACACACACACACAATGCACCCCTTGCACACAGAAAAACGCACAATGCATTACACACACAGACACACACACACACACAAGCAATTCAGCCCTTACACACAATGCATCCCTTACACACACAGAAACACAATGCATTCCTTACACACACTCAATGCACCCCTTACAGACGCACACACTGCATCCCGTACATACATTGAAACACACATTGCAGCCCTTACACATACAAACACAGATTCACACAATGCATTCCTTACACACACATATCAGGACATCCCCTACTCCTGTGAACAAAATAATTGGTGGAACATGAAGGTGGACCCTGGGGCCCAGACCTTGAGCTGTGTAAAGGGCCCCCAAAAAATTGAGCTGCTTCCCGTTCTCCCAGAACACAAACAGCCTCCAGACGAGTGGAGCCAGACTGCAGCTAGAGCCCATCACCATCCTCATCTGATTGTAAGTAGGCAATCTAGTATATTATTCGTGGCACTAATCTCTAATTTACCTCACATTAAAGGGACACTTTAGTCCCCAGAACCACTGCAGCTTAATGTAGTGGTTCTGGTGTCTATAGCCTGTCCCTGCAGGCCTTTTAATGTAAACACGGCGGCACTGCAGCACTTGCGTTCGTTAAAATGGGGCATTGTGATGTCATATGGGGGGGCGGCAAACTTTACTTTTGCCTAGGGCGGCAAAAATCCTTGCACCGGCCCTGGCTGTATTTCATTTAAGTAAAACATTTTATTTTCAGGTTTTACAACGAATTGAGAAAGGCAACCTTCTCCACAATGCCCAATATTACATCGGAAAGGTGCCTCCTCTCAAAGGGTTATAGTAACCCTTTAATTACAAGAAAAAAAATTAAATTGTCATTAAAAGCATTTGATTTGAACACATTAAATACATTATATAAAATAAATTATTAACAAATATATATTGTGTTGTATAGTATTGCTTGTTGAGAAGCAGGTCTCCCATTTCCATCCACTATAAGACAAAGCAGAATTTAAGCTACCTCTGACAAACTATTTCAGTGTTGAATAACCTAGGTAAATGACCTTTAGTCAACTTTGGCCAGCTTCTGCTCCGCAGCAGTGAGCCGCATAACAATTTAAGGAGCCTAACAACAATTTAGGATTTCAATTCCCGTGACTCAATGAGGCCGCGTCTTCATTTTCCGCCATGTTGATAATGTTGTGTGTGCGGAGAATACTGATACATTCTTTCGCACAGCGCTGCTGTCCTTTCAAACCTGAGGTCATAAAAAGTTAAACGTTACTTCAAAGAATATATAAAAGTGATGGAAAAAGGAGAAATAAAATTGGAAAGCTCCGTCTACCTGCTGCCACCAAACTCACTCGCGTACCATGATAGAGAAAGTATATATTAAATAGATTCCTGTTGTAGTTAGTTTATTGTATCAATAAAACATTAACAGTGTTTATCTACTAAAGTGTGAATTGATCGGAACTCAAAGTAAATTCAGAATGAATTGCATATTTACAAAATAGCCCAACTAACAACATAGCTGACTTGGAGAATTTTAACACTTTTGCTATTTTAACCAATTTTGTTATGGATCACTTGGAGGTTGCTCATTCTATGTTTTAATTTGGCCTTTTAAAGTATGTTTTTTGTTTTTTTTAACCATTTCAAAATCATATCTGGCAAATGGCCATAATGAGAGTATAAAACAGCTTTCTCTTTTTCACCCCTCCCACCCAACACTCGTCTTTTAATGTGTTTCCCTGGTTGTTTATTTTAGAGGACAAAAGCACCGCAATATATTGTAAAGACTAAACTATTTCTTCACAGTTATGGACTGTATTTAATTTTTTAGAGTCTTGGCCTGTACCACTGGAGTACAATTCACAAATGTTTCCATAGCAACAAGAGTAATTGTATATCAAAGACGTTGTTTGGAATGATGTCTTTTTGCCTTGGTAACTACACATAATCCTTTGTGAAACACATATTGACCTCAATTTAATAAACTTTCTAGATGATTTAATACTGTTAGAAAAAAACATTCTGAATTTTTAATCTACAAAAGTCACAATTAAATTCTATGGGAATTCTTGTCAATCACAATTTTTATTGAGGTGCAATATAATACACTTGGCATATAGTACCACTATGTGGACCATTTAAGGTGAGATCACAAGCAATGCATGTGTATAAAGTGGGGAACTAGGGCACCTCATTCTTAAAATAGAGACAGGTGATTAAAAGGCAGGATAAACCGTGAACAAATAACAACAAGAAATAATTAAACAGCACACGCATTAAGAACCAAAGGAAACGTAGAAAAATATCTCCAAAATGAAACACAAATAAGCTTTTAGGCTCATATTAAATATTAGTATAGTGACCTTACTAAAATAATCATATTGCGGAATGAGAAATAACTAAAACACACCTCTGCTTCACAAAAATGTGGTGCCTCAATAATCCAACCAACTCCTTGATGTAGGGTAATCAGATTTTGTAATAGCACATCATCGTACAGGCTTGAGCTGCCGCATGTTTAGGGCCCAGGATCGGATAGAACTGAGAGCAGTCACCAATCAGCCCGCAGGCTATTAGGAGGGTGGTGACACTAAACCTCTTAGCCAAGACACACTAGGCATCAGGGTCTGTCCCAGTATTGGAGCCGAAACATTGGCGAGAAGGATAGCATGACCTGGGGCGCTATCACGCACCTTTTGTGGGACCTTACCCTTTTGTATCCTTTTGCAATGATAAAGGTGTAAGGTGACTGGGCCTCGGGTGCCCGCAGCCCACAAAAAATTGGAGAATCCTGCATAGATTCACCAGCCGGATTATGTGTAGGGGTTGCAAGTATCACCCTATGTTGCAAACACAAACAAATTGCTTCACAGATGCAACTGAATAACAGTACAGATTCCTTCCCATGCGTTGCAGAAATGGCAAAGGCAGCCATCTTTGACAGCAGGACTCAATAGTTCATGAGTCAAAGTATTATGGGTAAGGTCTAAGCTTAGGTGTTTGTGGACTGAGATAACCCGCACCGCTCGAGGAAAAGGGGGGAGACATGGCTCTGTAAAATAGGAATTTACAACCAGTAAATTTGACTAATTTACTAATTCTAGCAAATAAGGGCAAATAATTTATAAAAGTCTTGTTAGCAATGATAGCATAACAAGTTGTGTGTGCACACAAAAATTTGAAATATATGTATATATTTATACACAAACATATGTATGAACATACATGCATACATACATAGAAATGGGCAGAAAATAGAAATATACAGGTGGCGAGTTTAATCTTCCAGAATTGAATAAGCCTTCCAGAAAAAGCATACACGGAGCTCTCAGATCATTTTGCTAGGTGATTAGTTGATACCTGTAGTGAATTTTGTACAGATTACAAGGAAAGGAGAATTAAATTGCAATAGGATTAGTCATTTTATTTTTATTATTGTGGCTAAAGCCATGAGATAAAGTAAGAAAACATACTTATATGACATGTCTGCAGGAGGCGGTGATTTCTGAATATTATTATTGCTGAAGGATCTACTTAAACTATGCGATACATGTAATTCTATAATGAGATTTATAACCTATATATAAACTACACATGACCTGTAACATTATTGGCGTTTATTGACTGCTTAAAGGGGAAGCATTACATTTGAGGATTTTATTTTTATTTAATAATGCTTGACAATAAAATCAGATATAATATTGCAATATCAATAATGAAACCACGGAGCAACGCAGGGAGGAGTGGGCCTTGACAGAGCCAGGAGTAGGAAGGGTGAAGTTCAGGTCAAGAGGCTGTCCTGTGATTGTGCTGGGGGGCGTGGTTTAGAAGGGAAGTTTAAATAGCGGCCATTTTAGGGTAAGTTCATTCTAACTTGAGCCTTTCTTACCTGTAAATTGTTGCAGGTCGGTTGGGCTCCTCTTTTCTTCTTTTCCAGGTGCAGCATGGCGTCATTAGAAGAACTTCTGTCCGGTCTGCGGTCCGTGGTGCAGGAGAAGGGAATGGCGTGGCTACAAGAGCAGCTGGGGGTTCCGAGCACGTCTGCTCCCCCCCATGCGGTGCCGGATCGGAGGCCGGAGAGGAGAGCTAGGCCGCCCCAGCGGCTTAGTCCTGGTGCGGGTCCTGCAGCCAGACGGAGGAGGAGCTCGGCGGGAAGCAGTGCGGCGGCCGGAAAACAGGGACGTGGAGCGGGTCGTCGGCCGGGACCGCCAGCTAGGCGCAATGCCGGGGCGGTGAGGTTGCAGGCCAGGAGGAGGCCTCCCTTGAAGGGCGCCCCCTGCCGGATGGCGGCGGGCGGGCAGGCGGAGCTGACAGCTGGTGCCGGAATGGAGCAGGACGGAGGGGAGTCGGTTACAAGACCCAGGAGCAGCCCTGGACGTCCCGGTGAGTCGCCCCCTGGGGGCAGCACTGTGGGGCAGGAGGGATTGAGAGGGGCTGGCAGTGGCAGGACAGCGGTCTCACAGGTTGGGAAGAGGGACCAGGTCAGCAGGGCACAGCAGGAGGCGGCTGGAGTTGGAGGCAAGAAGGATAGCGCTGCGGATCCAAGGGATCAGAGGAGCATGGCCAGGAGCTTGGGAAGAAGGGGAGACGGGCACAGCATCGGCAAGTCTGGGGACCCAGGAGTCAGGAGGAGTGGCAGTATGGAGCGGAGTGGCAGCAGGCGGGTGACTGGCCAGGAGGACGGCGGCACCCAGGACAGCAGTGGGCGGGAGGCCTCTAGGGGTCGATCCCAGGAGCGGCTCGATAGGGGGAGCGCCAGCAGAGGGAATGGCAGAGGATGGCAGCGCGGAAGGGCAGAATGGCGGGACAGCAGGTCAGGGTCTGCAGGCAGTAGGAGACATGGGAACGGGAGCCCAGCAGGGAACCGGAGCAATAGGAGGAGGCCAGCTTCTCGGGACAGGTGGCTACGGCGCCGGCGCAGTGAGTCAAGGTCGTCTGAGAGGAACCACACGGCACGGAGGAGGAGAAGTAGCGAGCGGGAGGGACGATGCAGGCAGGGAAGTGGTGAGGACGGGTCTGATCACGGGAATGAAGGGCGGGTGAGGCTGCAGTCGGACAGATCACCCAGGCTGTATTCTCCTTGCAGGTCGTTGAGTTGGACGCCCACGAGAGCAACACACGAACAGGCGGGCAGGAGTCGGCGTCCCCTGGTTCCTTCTGGGTCGGCTGTCGTGGTGGAAAAAGTGGCGCCCCCGCGGCCAGCAGCGGCCGGGGGCTTGAGCGGTGAGTCTCCAACTGCATCACACACAGGAAGCTTACTTGGATGTTTAAGATCTCTGTTAGATTCATGGTCTGGGGACGGGGGGTCTCCGACACAGTTTGAGAAAGTGTGGGTTGCGGACGGCGGTCGGGCAGCAGGGGTGAAGGCCGCAGCGTCAGCGGAGCCGAAAGGGGGTGAGGGCGCCGCGGGGACGGGTCAAGGAGCAACGGGTGACGTGGGTGAGCATGTCGTTCTCTGCGGGGAAGTAACGGATGCGGCACGGCAAAATGTGCATGTGTCTTTTGCGGGACCGCTAGGATGCCACTTAAAGGTGGAGGTTAAGGAGAAAATTTGGAAAGGGGAGTTCGTGGAAATATTTTCCCTGCTTCCCCTGGAGGAATTTTTAGACTTGAAAGAAGAGGATAAAAAGGATGCGAAAAAGGAAGAGGAGGAAAAGAGGCGGAGGTATCGGAAGATACCCAAGTCTTTTGGGAACTGGTTGAGGGCCTTTTGTATTTTGGCGAGCGTGATCGGGGAAAAATACCCGGATCGATGTTCGCAGCTTTTTTGTTATTTAGACGGGATAGGGGACGCATATCGGACCTATGGGGGTTTAGCATGGTGGAAATATGACGAACAATTTCGTCAGCGATTGGCGGCAAATCCGTCCATGCGGTGGGACCAGATGGACTTGCCTTTGTGGATGAGGCTGATGATGGCACAGAAAAGTGCCCCCTTTCTCGGAGCGGCCGGCACGGGCTCAGGTACCGTGTCGGCAGGTCAGAAGAAAGGTTTCTGCTGGCTCTACAATGAGGGCCAATGCAAGTGGGGTGCATCTTGCAGATTTAAGCACGAGTGCTCCGGTTGCGGGGGTAATCACGGAGTTTCCAGGTGCTTCCGAAAAGGTAAGCCGAACTTGGGAGGAGGGGTTGTCGGCACATCAACAGCTGCGGCTGCAGCTGGGAGCGTCGCCGGTGAAGGTAAGCGCGATGCTGCCGTGGTTAAAACTATACGATAATCAGGAGGTGGCAAAGTTTTTACGGCTGGGTTTTACAGAGGGTTTCAGGATTCCGTTTCAAGAAAGGGCTGCGGGTGGGTTATGTAAAAACCTTCGGTCAGTGGGGGAACATCCGAGCATAGCTCGGGAAAAGTTATGTAAGGAAGTGCAATTAGGGAGGATGGCGGGACCATTCGCTTCCCCGCCGTTGGTTGGTTTGCGGGTGTCTCCACTTGGGGTAGTCCCCAAGAAGGAGGCGGGTAAATTTCGTATGATCCATCATTTATCGTACCCACAAGGTACATCGGTTAATGATGATATCGACGAGGCCCTGTGTTCTGTTTCCTACACATCATTTGACAAGGCTGTCGAGTTGGTTAGGAGAGCGGGACAAGGGGCTCTAATGGCGAAATTGGATGTGGAGGCAGCTTTCCGGCTGCTTCCCATACACCCGGATTGTCATCACTTATTGGGGTGCTATTTCGATGGGGGGTATTTTGTGGACTTATGCTTGCCTATGGGTTGTGCCATCTCGTGTGCTTACTTCGAGAGGTTTAGCACCTTTTTGGAGTGGGTCGTACGACGGGAATCGGCTGGGGGTGCTGTGGTGCACTACCTGGACGATTTCTTATGCGTTGGCCCACCACGCACGGAGCGCTGTAGCCAGGTGTTGAGGACCTTCCAGTGGGTGGCGCACACATTTGGGGTGCCGTTAGCAGAGGACAAAACGGTGGGGCCCACTACGTGCCTCAGCTTCCTGGGTTTGGAGATCGACTCGGTACGGAGGGAGTGCAGGTTGCCCGGGGACAAATTACACGCCCTTCAGCGGCTAGTGGACACGGTTGGTAGGGCGAGGAAGGTCACCTTGCGTGAACTTCAATCGTTGATAGGGAGCCTGAATTTTGCGTGCCGAGTGATCCCTATGGGGAGGGTCTTTTGCAGACGATTGGCGCGGGCGACAAGCGGGGTGAGAAAACCGTCGCATTATATTAGGGTGTCAGTGGACATGAGAGAGGACTTGGAGGTATGGGCTAGGTTTTTGAGGGAGTTTAACGGGAAGGTGTTTTTTCGGGAGCCGTTGGGAACCTCCACGGCCGTGGGTTTGTTTACGGATGCATCAGGCAGCATCGGTTTTGGGGCGTACCTAGCGGGTAAATGGTGCGCGGCGGGGTGGCCGGAGGCATGGAAAGCGAGCCCCTTGATTAGGAATTTGGCCTTTTTGGAGTTTTTCCCGGTTGTTGTGGCAGTGGCGTTATGGGGTCCGGAGTTAGCCAATAAGAGGGTGGTATTCAATTCGGATAACATGGCAGTGGTGCAGGCTATCAACGGATTATCGGCTTCTTCATGGCCAGTGGTACGGTTGTTGAGGCAATTGGTTCTCTTGTGCATGTCTTTTAATATTGTGTTTCGCGCTCGGCATATACCGGGGCTTACCAATGTTGTCGCTGACGCGCTGTCTCGCCTACAGTGGGAGCGTTTTCGGGAGGCGGCGCCAGAGGCGGAAGAAGAGGGTCAAGCCTGTCCGGCGGAGATGTGGGAGCTCGGGACGTCTTGCTTGGGGAGTACATAAAGAAGTCTCTGGCGTCTGGAACTTGGTTCTCCTATGTTAAGGTCTGGCAAGTGTGGGAAGACACGATGCAGCAGGTAGGGGTGACGGGCCCTGGGAGCAATCGGCTGGACATACTGTTATGGATCCTATGCCGGTTGTTCGCAAAGCAAGCGTCGCCATCAATGGTTGATAGGTACATGTCAGCGTTGGCGTTTTTGTTTAAGTTTAACGGATGGGAGGATGTGACGAAGCATTTTATAGTGAGGCAAGCGGTTCGGGGATACAGGAAAGGTAAGAAGACGAAGGATACGAGAAGACCAGTCTCCTTCACAGTGTTACAGGGGTTAGTGAACAAACTACCTGAGATATGTTTTTCTGTGTTTGAAGTGGCGTTATTTACAGTGGCTTTTTCGTGGGCCTTTTTTGGGGCGTTTCGGATTGGTGAGTTGCTTAGTGCCAACAAGAAAGGGGGTTGGTGGGCTTAGGTTGGAAGATGTGACGGTTAGTAGGGACAGGGTGTTGATCCACCTGATTCAATCAAAGACGGATGTATTTGGTAAAGGTTCCATGGTCACGTTGTTTGGTTTACCAGGGTCGGGGTTGTGTCCGGTGGCAAGTGGGGCCGGGTTTTTGGAACTACGCCCGATAGGGAGCGGTTGTTTCTTCATACATGCCGACGGCACGGCACTGTCGCGCTTCCAATTTGTGCGGGTTTTCCGTTTGGGATTACAGAAGTTGGGTCTGGAGCCCATGCAGTTTGGAACACATTCATTCCGAATAGGCGCGGCGACAGAAGCGGCTCGCTTGGGTTTAGGGGATGAGCGGATTAGACGAATTGGGAGATGGGAATCTCTCAGGTTTCGCTCTTATGTACGGCCAGATAGGCTGGTGTGAAGGGGTGGTTGATTGTGGGTGTTTGGGATGTGCTGGTGATGTTTCCTCAATGTTATGTTTTATTTTAGGTTGGACGGTGTGGATAATTGGCCATTCGTATATCCATTGGGCAAGGAGGAGGGCCGCAGTTAGAAGACATGGAACACAGCTGGGCTTTCCTGAGGATCGGGTGGCGTTATTCTGGTTCGGTTATCGGGGGTTTGACTGGCAGCACATTATTACGGTATTGTTTCGGAAGGTAGCGGAGGAGCCCTTGCCGAACGTGGTGGTAATTCACGGGGGGGGAAACGACTTGGGTCTGGTCCCCCAACGTGAACTGGTTAAGTGTATGAAGCAGGACGTTGACAGACTAAGGGGGCTTGTCCCTGGCGTGAAAGTGGTATGGTCGGAGATGGTACCTCGCTTATGCTGGAGATACGCCAGGGATGAGAAGGCAGTTTCTCGATGTCGGGGTAAAGTGAACAGGACCATGGCGGTGTTCATTCGAAGGTTAGGAGGCGTGGTGGTGAGGCATCGGGAGTTGGAGGAGAGATTACCGGGTTACTTTCGTGATGACGGGGTGCACTTATCGGATGTTGGTTATGACCTTTTTAATTTAGGTTTGCAAGACGGGATAGCGCAAGCCCTGTTTTTGTGTGGTGGGGGTCGCACATGTCCTTAAGGGGTCAAGGCAAGTGCTGTGGCGGAAAAGGTCTTGGTTAAACTGGAATTTTGGTGGGTTAAGAAATTGGTAGGCCAAGGTCTAGGCTGGAGTAGGCCGGAAGTCAAAAGTATGGAGGTAGGTTCGAGCCCGTCGGTGGCTACGAACCAAGGGGTGTAGGGGTGTCTGGGTACACCCCTGCAGTTAGACAAATGGAGGTGGGGCCTCTTGGTAGGCCGTTGAGTTACGTGTATGTATTATTGGTTATGCTAATGTTTGTTTTGGTAGGGTCATTGTCGGGGGTATGATATAGGAAGAGAGCCTAACGAAGGAGTACTGTTGACAATGACCCTAAATTGTTAATTTATATATTGATATTAATTAATAAAGCTGTGGACTTTATACTCCAACAGAATTTTCTGTGTCTGCGTGTTATTAAAGTATGGTTGGCACATGCCGAATAACGACTGTGCAATAATGTCATGAAACCACGGAGCAACGCAGGGAGGAGTGGGCCTTGACAGAGCCAGGAGTAGGCAGGGTGAAGTTCAGGTCAAGAGGCTGTCCTGTGATTGTGCTGGGGGGCGTGGGTTAGAAGGGAAGTTTAAATAGCGGCCATTTTAGGGTAAGTTCATTCTAACTTGAGCCTTTCTTACCTGTAAATTGTCCCTCCCACCCACCCTATGAGTTAGTAGTAGTTCCCGTTTGGTCACAGCGGCGGGAAAAGGTCTTGGTTAAACTGGAATTTTGGTGGGTTAAGAAATTGGTAGGCCAAGGTCTAGGCTGGAGTAGGCCGGAAGTCAAAAGTATGGAGGTAGGTTCGAGCCCGTCGGTGGCTACGAACCAAGGGGTGTAGGGGTGTCTGGGTACACCCCTGCAGTTAGACAAATGGAGGTGGGGCCTCTTGGTAGGCCGTTGAGTTACGTGTATGTATTATTGGTTATGCTAATGTTTGTTTTGGTAGGGTCATTGTCGGGGGTATGATATAGGAAGAGAGCCTAACAAAGGAGTACTGTTGACAATGACCCTAAATTGTTAATTTATATATTGATATTAATTAATAAAGCTGTGGACTTTATACTCCAACAGAATTTTCTGTGTCTGCGTGTTATTAAAGTATGGTTGGCACATGCCGAATAACGACTGTGCAATAATGTCATGAGCAAAGCAAGATTGGCAAAAAAAATTAAGCAACCTATATATGACAATCTACTCCTGCCGTAAATAAAGATACTCACCTAGTGGGATTTTGAAACTGATTTATAGCTTACTATTAAAGGAACACTGATGTAATATTTCTAATATTTTAGTGTAATATTTTTTTTTTAAACTATTTTGCTGCAGGCAGAAAGTGAAAGCTCACACGATTATATAAAAAGGAAGAAGGTAGAGAAATGTTGAGCACTGGGTCAGATAACGGACAATCCGGCCACAGGTGTATAAAGATGGCTGTCAGAAAGGAATGTGAAAGGTAGGCGAGATATTTCTTTAAAAATCTCAGAATACATGTAGTACATATACAGATATAACAAATTTTATATTACCATACTTTAAAAATGTTGTTGGTGTTCCTTTAAGAACTCGTAGGCTACATGGTTCCATTTTTTCCTCCCAGTACACTACCTCCAAACATTTTTGTCTATTTCTACTAGGGGTTACCCCCTTTCTCTTCAGTGTACCATAGTGGGCAGTATTCAATTTGTTTTTTTATATTAAAACTAGTTCATAACTTTGGGATGTGTATACAGATCCTCAATTTTAAGACATTAGTTAAAACCATACACAGCAGTCCATACACCAGGTTGGTAAACGGCACAAACTGGTCCAACCCCTGTTTTACCTTGGATCTGTGCCAATTCCTTCAGCAAACTATGCTCCGTGTAACGATGCACAGTTCAGAGCAAGACACTCACCCATCAAGCTTGGCCAGGGCTGTACTCCACATTAAAGGAACACTATAGTCACCTAAATTACTTTAGCTAAATAAAGCATTTTTAGTGTATAGATCATTCCCCTGCAATTTCACTGCTCAATTCACTGTCATTTAGGATTTAAATCACTCTGTTTCTGTTTATGCAGCCCTAGCCACACCTCCCCTGGCTATGATTGACAGAGCCTGCATGAAAAAAAAAACTGGTTTCACTTTCAAACAGATGTAATTTACCTTAAATAATTGTATCTCAATCTCTAAATTAAACTTTAATCACATACAGGAGGCTCTTGCAGGGTCTAGCAAGCTATTAACATAGCAGGGGATAAGAAAATCTTAATTAAACAGAACTTGCAATAAAGAAAGCCTAAATAGGGCTCTCTTTACAGGAAGTGTTTATGGAAGGCTGTGCAAGTCACATGCAGGGAGGTGTGACTAGGGTTCATAAACAAAGAGATTTAATTCCTAAATGGCAGAGGATTGAGCAGTGAGGCTGCAGGGGCATGTTCTATACACCAAAACTGCTTCATTAAGCTAAAGTTGTTCAGGTGACTATAGTGTCCCTTTAATCATTCAGCTGGGTGGGTGAGCAGCTGCTGTACCAAATGATTCATATCCATTTAGAGTTAGTAGTATGACACTGGGGTGGGCATAACAGTTCTATGGGAAAATCCCAGATTTAAGGTGATCGTGTGTCGTGGGTCTATGATTTGGTGTTGGTTTGGTTCTAGCAGCCCTCAGTAACTGTGAAGAAAAGGCTGGTACTCATCCAGAACCAGGTTGCTTCTTGTAAAATTCTGGAAATCTACATGTAATGACTCATCCAGAACCAGGTCTCTGAACTCTGTCTGTAGCTAATGTTCTATCCAAGAACAAGAAATGTAATCCAGACCAATTTCTTTTAGTTTGAGCACTAACCTATTGTGAGGAACCATATCAAACGCTTTGGCAAAATCCAAGTAGATCACATCCACTGCAACACCCTGATCTATACTTCTACTTACTTCTTCGTAGAATGCAATTAGGTTAGTTTGATATGACCAATGTTTTGCAAAACCATGGTGATTATTGACACTAACAATTTATTGGGTTGTTCCCAATAAATTTCTGAATATTATCCCTTAATAACCAAATGCACCTAGTGGATTGCAAGCATTAACTTGCAAACAACATGGTAACTGGGGGCAACGCTTGGTAATACCGGCTCTCGCAAGAGGGAGACGCATGGTCTATACCCTGTAAAGGTACAGACCAAATAACCAGCCCACAAGACCACCAGGGATTGACATCAGCATGCTCCCCTCGACCCCAGGAAGGTAATAAGAGGGAGTGGAGTGCGACATATATATTTTAATGAGCAAATTAATTAAGCAGCCATATTACCCCTATTAACCCACTACACCCCCTGCCATCATACACCCTATTTACCCACTACACCACCCGCCATGTTACCCCTATTACCCCACTACACCCCCTGCCATCATACACCCTATTCACCCACTATGCCACCTGCCATGTTACCCCTATTAACCCACTACAACTCCTGCCATCATACACCCTATTTACCCACTACAGCACCTGCCATGTTATCCCTATTAACCCACTACACCCCCTGCCATCATACACCCTATTTACCCACTACACCACCTGCCATGTTACACCTATTAACCCACTACACCCCCTGCCATCATACACCCTATTTACCCACTACACCACCTGCCATGTTACCCCTATTAACCCACTACACCTCCTGCCATCATACCCCCTCTATTAATCCACTACACCCCCTGCCATCATAACCCCTATTAACCCACTACATGCCTGCCATTATAACCCCGATCAACCCACTACACTCCCTGCCAGGTTACCCCAATTAACCCACTACACTCCCTGCCAGGTTACCCCTATTAACCCCCTACATTCATAACCCCTATTAACCCGCTACACCCTCTGCCATCATAACCCCTATTAACCCACTAGACCCCCTGCCATATTACCCCTATTAACACAGTACCCCCCTGCTTTCATACCCCATATTAACCCACTACACACTGCCATCTTACCGCTTATTAACCCACTACACCCCCTGCTATATTACCCCTATTAACACAGTAGGCCCCCTGCCATATTAGCCCTATTAACCCACTACACCCCCTGCCATCATACCCCCTGTTAACACACTGCACCCCCTGCCATCTTACCCTATAAACCCACCTCATCCCCTGTCATCTTACCATATTAACCAACCTAACCCCCTGCCATATTACCCCTATTAACCCACCACACACTCTTTCCATTAGCCCCTATTAACCCACTACACCCCCTGCCATATTACACCTATTACCTCACTACACACCCTACCATCTTACTCCTATTAACCTACTACACCCCCTGCCATCCTGACCCCTATTGACACACTAACCCCCTGTACTTACACACAACACACTCTCTTATATACCCCCCTGCACTCACACACATGCACACTACATCCCCTGCACTTACACACAAACACATTACAGACACTCTATAACCCTTATACACACACCACACGCCCTTCACTCACATACACACAGTACACAAACTCTATACTCTGCACTCACACACTCTATACCCCCTATAAACACACACCACACCCACACACACACACACTCTATATACGAATACACACACTAAAACTCCTAGATACACACACAATTAACACGCCCCCTTTTGGCTCCACCCCTCACAGTGGACTGCTACCATTAACTGCCCGGCCCTGTTACACACACACCCTGCACCCACAATGGACACGGTGATTTAAACATAGGAATAGTCCAGGCTCCTACATAATATGTTGGTATGAAACCACAGGTGATGGTGATTACCGTCACAGTCGCCTTATGGTTAATACTGTTCTGTACTGAACTGGGTTGAAACCTTTTTAGTTGCTCAATCTACAAGATGCATTTAAAAGAAAACAGCATGACAAAAAAAAAAAAAGACATGTAGATTGTTTTAGGTAAATTCAAATTTTTAATTCAGTAGGATGATTTCCAGAAAAGCGATGATTTTCTGTATTTGTCATTTTTTTTAAATTTTATTTTTAGAATAACAAAATCATTCATAGGCTTCTAGGTAAAGCCTAAATCCTATTTAGAAAGCTAAACGCTAACATTCTATTTATATTGTGAGAACGGACAGCTGTACTAATACTCCATTAACCTATGGGATACCAAGATCAATTCCAGCCATTTCCTGCTTTTTGAAGATGTCACTGAAGAATGAACAGATCTTGAGGAGTTGCATCTTGGTCATCCGGCGATGAGCCATTTATTTAAAGTCTGTATTTATCCTTTAAATGCCAGCTTTGTGGAGGAGAAAAGTGTTAAATAAGCTATTTGTTTAATCGAAAAATAGACATAAAAAAAAAAAAAAAACACTGGCATTATTCCAGATTTCTCTGTGATTTGGTGTTTTATCTTATTGCTGTTATTGCAAAAATTTTGATAGAAAAATATCCCGCATCTGCCAGCTTTTAATTAGCAGTTTAATTAGCGATAAGTTCCATATTCCCACTTACTTACTGTAAGGGAAATAAAGATGTACTTTTCTGAGCATGGTGTCTACTTTAAACTTGAAACATCAACAAATGTCTTCAAATCTACTATTTAAAGTGAGAATTTAAAGTGAACTCAAAGTGAATTTGAAATTTAACATTAAAATAGCGGAACAGCATCAATTCTCAAAGTCAGCTGTGCTTGAAGTTTGCCAACTTTGGCATTAACTTTAAATGACCCCTTCAGAAAATAACCCTGTACTGTGAAAATGTAAGGTTGTCCCATGAGCTGATTAAAGGACCACTATAGACACCCAGACTACTTTAGCTTAATGACGTGGTCTGGGTGCCAGGTCCAGCCATGATTAACCCTTTTTTCTATAAACATAGCAGTTTCAGAGAAACTGCTATGTTTATATTAGGGTTAATCCAGCCTCTAGTGGCTGTCTCATTGACAGCCCCTAGAGGCGCTTGCGTGCTTCTCACTGTGAAAATCACAGTGAGAAGACGCCAGCGTCCATAGGAAAGCATTGTGAATGCTTTCCTATGAGACTGGCTGAATGCGCATGCTGTTCTTGCCGCGCATGCGCATTCAGCCGAGGAGGAGGAGAGGAGGCGGGAGTGGGACCCTGAGGGTGGGGGCACCCTCAGGGCACTATAGTGCCAGGAAAACGAGTATGTTTTCAAGGCACTATAGTGGTCCTTTAAGGGATTTATTTAAGAAGTGTTACAAAACACTTACACACCAGGGATATTCACTATAATGTGGATTGTTGGTCATGTGCAAATTGTAGGTCAAAATGTGGAAACCAGAGAGAGGAGTTTTGAATGGTGTTGACTTATAATAAATGTATTGCCTAATTTGATGGATGATGGCGTGTGGGGGGGAGGGGGGAGCTGAAATACTTAATTAAAGGGACACTATAGTCACCAGAACAACTACAGCTTAATATAGTTGTTCTGGTGAGTATAATAGCTCCCTTCAGACATTTTCATGTAAACACTGCCTTTTCAGAGAAAAGGCAGTGTTTACATTGCCCCTAGGGACACCTCCAAGTGGCCACTCCTCAGATGCCCACTGGAGGCACTTCCTTGCTCAGGGTTGCACAGTAAGCAGCCCTGTCGTTCAGTGTCCATACGCTCTGCATGGGGACGCTGAATTTTCCTCATAGAGATGCATTGATTCAATGCATCTCTAAGAGGAGGTCCTGATTGGCATTGGCCCCGCCCTGTGACGATTTTAGCCAATCCAGTGCTTTCCCTATGGCCATTTTGATGATGTCACAAAGGGGGCTGAGCCAACGCCGGCGGACCCGTGTTGCGCTGGGAATAAGGGGAGTTTTAAACTTTCATAGGGGGGCAAGCCACCTAAATGGTGGGTTTAGCACTATAGGGTCAGGAATACATGTTTGGGTTCCTGATGATATAGTGATCCTTTAAAGTAAAACATTATTTATAAAAGGTTGACGTAAACCTTTAATAGCTGCATTTTGATGGCAAACATAGAAACAGATTTTTACCTGAAGCTGAAAGAGGCAAGATGAATAGTTAGTGTAGGACTCACCTAAGAGGTTTACCTTGACGTGGCAGGTGAGCTTACACTTAAATGGCCACTGAAGTGATACTAAAAACCTTCAGGTATTTAAATGTGCGTGGGGATTTGGGATAGTCCGCAAGTAACTCTTTTCTTTGGTTTTCATTGAAACAAGATGCGCCTTAACTGAAAAGTCATTTGCTAAATGTTTATAAATTTAAAAGAAAAAGGAGTATGACACAAAAACGTTATATAGTGATTTTCAATGATTTATTCATTAGTATAATTTCTATAAAATGTACTGGTTTGTCTTTATGA